GCTTCATTCTCACATGAGAGCGCTTAGATCGATGGGTACCATGGAGGAAATAGCTGGATGCATCATCGTTCACTCCACATACAAGTATCTCGACTCTGATACCAGGACCAAATGGGAGGAGCTGTCGCCCCCTAACGTCATACCAACATGGGACCATTTTTCGGCTTTTTTGGAGAGGAGATGTCAAGCCATGGAGACCATGGATCAAGCTATGTTGATTCAAATCCATAGCAGTCAGGTTGGAAAACATAAACGAATCACTCATTCAAAACACAGTCTTGTTGCTACAAATACAATCGTATTGGAATGCGTGTTCTGTGATAATAAAGGGCATAACATTTACAGCTGCACTCGCTTTGGAAACCTTTCGCCATCTTTGCGTCTTAGAGAGGCAAGGAAGCTTAGAGTTTGCTTCAACTGTTTGAAGAAGGGACATCGGAATACCTCCTGCAGTTCAGGCTCTTGTCGCACATGCGGTGAAAAGCATCATACCCTTTTACATATCAACAATCCGCTGCCTACGTCAGTTAACACGGAACCTGCAAACGCTACTACGTCTCCTATTCAGACAGACTTATGCCCAGGCCCCAATCTTTCAAGTTCTCTTGTTGCCGCTTCATCACCATGCTCGCCTCCTGCTCAGAATCTTAGCTCAGACGTAGTGCTTCTAGCCACGACAGTCATTATGATAAAGAGTCGAGTTGGTGATCTTCTTCCTTGTCGGGCTCTTCTGGATTCAGGCTCTCAGATTAATTTAATAACCTCTCGCTTTGCTCAGAGGCTTCAGCTGAAACGAGCCAAAGGGTCGGTATCAGTATCGGGTATCGGCGCTGATTCTGCATTTCACACGGAAGGTTCAGTTAATTTGGTCATTCAATCCAGGACTTCCGATTACTTCACGAGTCTCACAGCTCTCGTTGCTCCACGTATTACAGGAAACCAGCCTGCTTCTTCATTTGATGTATCCAAATGGGAAATGCCATCCAATATCAGCCTTGCTGACCCACACTTTAACAAATCTCAGCGCATCGATGTACTTATTGGAGCCAGCTTATTTTACGACATTTTATGCGTTGGACAGATCAAATTGGAGAGGGGACTTCCTATAATACAAAAAACCCGTCTCGGCTGGGTTGTCACAGGTGGAGGTCAGTACTCCCGCAGCTCAGTGCTCCTAGCTGCCTCTAGTTCGACGGAATTGAGTCAAACGCCTACCGTTGGTTTGGATGAGCTAGTGCGAAGGTTCTGGGAAGTGGAAAACTGCCACGGTCCCGCTACAGAAGCAACAAAGGAGGAAATTGCTTGCGAGGAACATTTCAAAAAACATTGCGGTCGGCTTCCAAGTGGCGAATATTGCGTTCAATTGCCTTTAAAGCTGAGTGACAGTCTTCTTGGAGATTCTTATCAACAAGCCTATCGCAGATTTCTCAATCTAGAGCGCAAGTTGGTTCGCAAACCGCTTCTCAAGGCCCAATACGCCGCATTTATAAAGGAATACGTCGATTTGAATCACATGTCCCCTGTCAAAAGTGACGCACTTAAACAATGCAAATTTTTTCTTCCTCATCACTGCGTCTTAAGAGAAGACAAAACCACCACAAAACTCCGAGTAGTTTTCGACGGATCCGCTTGTACATCTACAGGATATTCCCTCAACGATATATTGATGTCAGGCCCAACAATTCAGCCAAAGTTAGTTACGACTCTTCTTCGATTTCGTACCTTTCGTATAGCATTGACTGGTGACATTTGTAAAATGTATAGATGCGTCCGTGTCTCGCCCCAAGATAGTTTTCTGCAGTGCATACTGTGGCGTGACTCACCCCTCGAGGAGCTAAGGACATTCAAGCTGGATACCGTGACCTATGGAACGAAACCAGCAGCATTTCTGGCCGTCCGTTCTATGCACCAACTAGCGGCAGACGAGAGTTCGTCATATCCAATTGGCTCTGAAGTTGTGCTGCGGGACTTTTACGTGGATGATTTGCTAACGGGGGGAGATACTACAAATGAGGTGCTGGAAATAATTCGCCAGGTGTCAGGACTATTAGCCAAAGGAAATTTCAAGATCAGAAAATGGTGTTCCAACGATACATATGTACTCGATCAAACACCCCATGAAGATAGGGAAACATTTGTTAAATTTACTGATGGCAGCGATGTAACCAAGACGCTAGGTTTAGCATGGAATCCCACTTCGGATGAGCTATTATTTTCATTCTGTCCCAATCAAGTCCCTTCGAAACCAACTAAGCGAGTTGTATTGTCAACTATTGCACGATTTTATGATCCACTCGGACTTATAGGGCCAGTTATTACTAAAGCAAAAATATTTCTACAGCAGCTGTGGAAAGAAAAGCTTCATTGGGATGAAAGTCTGCCAGTCTCCTTACGCACAACTTGGATCAACTTTATTCAGCAGTTTGACTCTATGCAACAAATTTCTTTCCCGCGCCTATCTTTCCTTCGAAGCAGCAACCTTGAAATGCATGGATTTTGTGATGCCAGCATGAGTGCTTATGGAGCTTGCATCTACGCTGTTTCGCAAGGCGACAATGGAGTCAAGGCAAATCTTCTATCTTCCAGATCTCGTGTAGCGCCACTGAAGACTATCACAATACCCAAGTTGGAATTATGTGGTGCAGCGCTACTCGCTCAGCTTATGCATGAAGTGTCTTTGATGAACTTCAAGTGCTCTTATTATTGCTGGTGTGACTCCACAGTCGTTTTGGCTTGGATCAAGAATCAACCATCCAACTTCAATGTATTTGTCGCTAATAGACTTTCTGTTATTCAGGAACTCACATCTGGAATGTCTTGGCTGCACGTGCCAACTGATCTAAACCCTGCCGATATGCTTTCTCGAGGATCATTACCAGCTGAGCTCATCAATTCTCATCTTTGGAAGTATGGACCTACATACTTGACAGCCAGTAAGGATCAATGGCCAAGTACACCTGCTCTTCCAGAGCCGGTTTTGGAGGCACGAAAAACCATACTAATTACAAACTGCGCGTCAAGATATTTGGTGGAAGAATCAAAGTTTGTAAATTCCTTCCCCAAAATGCAACGAATTTTTGCGTATGTATGCAAATTCATTCATCGACGAAAGTCTGGAATAACTGTGGAGGACTTGCGTTTGGGAACCGAACTGCTTATTCGTCTTACTCAACAATCTCGTCTATCCACTGAAATAAGAGCCCTGGAAACGCGAAAGGACATCAAGGCTTCAAGCTCGATCGCCTCTCTTTCGCCATTTTTAGATGATTGCGGTTTGCTTCGAGTTGGAGGGCGTCTTAAAAACTCTACCTTGGACTTTGAAGCACGGCATCCCATAATATTGCCCAAGAATCATTCCATCACTTCTGCTCTGATACGGCACTTACACGAAAAGCACCTTCACGCTGGACCCCAGTCGCTATTAGCCATCATTCGTCAAACGTACTGGCCAATCGGTGGCCGAAAGACCGTAGCACACGTAATCCAAAAGTGTGTCAGATGCTTTAGAGTGAAGCCTCGAACTCTCGAGCAAATAATGGCAGATCTTCCGGTGGACAGAGTCAGCGAATCTCGTGCATTTTTAGTTACCGGCGTGGACTATTGCGGTCCGTTCCTGTATAAATCAGAAGTTCGAAACCGGCCCCCACTAAAGTGCTACATGAGCATTTTTATATGCTTCTCCACCAAGGCGGTTCACATCGAGCTTGTGAAGGATCTTACAACATCTGCGTTCCTCTCTGCTCTTCGCCGTTTCATTTGCACCCGTGGAAGACCGATTCGTATTTGGTCAGATAATGCCACAAATTTTGTTGGAGCGCGGAACGAACTGGCGGAACTTAAGTCGCTATTCCTAAGCGACAGTCATCAAGAAGCCGTGCATCAAGCTTTTCTCAACGATTGCATCGATTGGCGTTTCATTCCTCCTAGATCGCCACATTTTGGAGGATTGTGGGAGGCGTCAGTCAAGCTTGCTAAGCATCATCTTCGACGTGCCCTCGGATCCTCGCTTCTTGGATTTGATGAGCTGCGCACTCTCGCGTGCAATATCTGTGCAATCATTAATTCAAGGCCATTGTTTCCTCTTTCAGAGAACCCTGCAGATCTCGATGTACTCACGCCCAGCCATTTTCTAGTTGGCGCCCCTATCACAACCTTCTTGGAGCCTGACTTGGTTCATTTAAACGTCGATCGCTTGGACCGTTGGCAGAAGGTCACACAGCTTCAGCAAATCTTTTGGTCTCGCTGGCGCCAATCGTATTTAACCAGTCTTCAAGAAAGAACGAAGTGGCGCACCCGGAATCCTGAGCTTCACGTCAATGATGTCGTTCTTGTTAAGGACGAGAACTTCCCTCCTCTGAAGTGGCCTCTAGCGAGAATCCTCGAGCTCATCCCAGGAGCTGATGGCGTATCTCGAGTCGCCTTGATCAGGATGGCTACAGGTGTTAGCCGAAGAGCACTTGCAAAACTATGTCTATTGCCTCTACGAGATGAGGTGAAAGGCATGGATCCTTCCACGGGGGGAGTATGTTCGGGCGAAGCCCGAGTGTAAATTTTATACCATTGTTTTATTGCCTATCAATTCACTTTCTTTTCTATTTTGGTCATTATACTAAACTAACGTAACGTAAGCGTAGCTTTATCTATGCTCGCTCAGCAACATGCTCTCATTTAATCATCTATTCTTATCTATGCTCGCTCTTGTTATCTTTTTTCCTATGCCGTCGCTAAGCCGTCAGCAGCTGCGCCTGCTCTAGCAGTTACCGCTTGATATAGTTGGAGAACAGACCTTTTTTGTCCCCAATCTATTACTTTGGCTCGAGATCGGCTCGCTTGCCTCATCCAAGTGTGTCACTCTAATACTATTGTAAAAGGCTCTGGCATCTTCGGCCACCCTCAACACACAAAATACCTATAATAAAATTTATAACGTTTTCGGAAATTAATAATTTGTGAAATTATTGAACAATCATAGTCAGCGAAAAAGCTCGTTGTCTCAACAGGATGCTACAAATGTTATGGTGACAAAGGGCTTCGAATACGAGTATCTGCGCAAGGGAATGGCCGGCCGCCCGACCCGAACACTGGTGGAGTTTATTGCTCTGACGATTTGCAAGGATACGGCCCCACGTTTGGCCAAGTAATCAATCTCTAACGGGAATCCAATGTTATATATATTTTTTACTGTGTTTTTTGACGATGCCACACACGAACACAAAATTATACTTGAGCTATTTATTTATTTATTTATTAAATTAACAATTATCTCTTAATAATGGTACTTAGTTACTAAAGGCGGAAAAAGATAAGTTAAAAGTTAGCTATATTTAAATGATTATAAATATTGCATGCAATTAGTTTAAGAGACAGTTCAGGGGATAGGGTTTGACAGAGGGAGTTATAATTATAGCATAAAACCCTAAAAGGTTCATGATCAGCATAATTAGACCTACATATGGGTAGACGGATAGGCCTAAAAGTACGGGTAGGTCTAGATGGAACGGCCAAGTCAATCTGACCCACGAGAGTTTGGGAGTCAACAGTCCCAAGAAGGAGCTTCTGCACGAACATTACGCCATTGCATATTCTGCGATGGTGCAACGACGGCAGGTCAATAAGATTTAGCCTAGACCGGTAGGGTGGCAAGATTCTACCTGAGTCCCAGTTAAAGTTCCGGGCAAAAATTAAAAATTGCTTTGCACGGATTCAATAACAGCCTGCTGTACTTTATACTGCGGGCTCCACACACTAGAACAATACTCCAATATAGGACGTACTAACGAGATGTACAGTTGTTTCGTAACGTACGGGTCGTCAAACTCCTTGGACCAACGCTTGATGAACGCTAAAACACCCTTAGCTTTATTTACAGTTGCAGCTATATGGGTGTTAAAACACATCTTATGATCAAAAAGGATTCCGAGGTCATTTGAACTCGAAATTCGCTCAAGGACATGATTTCCTAGAACATATGGGAGCGCGAACAATGAGGAGCGCGACGGTAAAATGTCATAAGTTTGCATTTGGAAAGGTTCAGAAAAAGAAGATTAGTTGAACACCACAATAGTAGTTCACTTAGATCAAGTTGAAGGCGTGTGTGCAAATACCAATCAGAGTAAGAAAGACAGACATCGTCAGCATACATTAGTGTAGTAGAGTATGTTATAACTTGAGGAAGGTCATTCACAAATAAAATGAACAGAAGCGGGCCCAGATGACTTCCCTGTGGCACACCTGAAGTAACATTTACAGTATTTGACAACACGTTAAAAAACAAAACACGTTGAGTACGGTTAGAGAGATAGGACAAAATCCAATCTAGAAGATTCGTTGGGAACCCTAATAAAGAGAGCTTGTGAATAAGCAGAGCATGGTTCACAGAATCGAATGCCTTGCTGAAGTCAGTAAAAACTACATCCGTCTGCAAACCAATTTGAAAACCACGGTGGATTAGGTTAGAAAACTCAAGAAGGTTAGTCGATGTTGAACGATGTCTGAAAAAACCGTGTTGCGACGGAGATATCAAGCTGCAACAAAGATGTTGCAGTTGCCGGGTGACCAGGAACTCAAGAAACTTCGGGATGGCGGAAAGCTTTGCGATACCGCGATCGTTTTTAATGTTTGATCTTGAACCTTTTTTGTGAAGCGGAATGATATAGGACTCATTCCAAATTACTGGGAGACAAGACTGTTCCAAGGAGAGGTTGAAGAGAAAGGTCAAGGGTTTGCAAAGGGACTGGGCACAGTGTTTTAAGATGCAACTTGGTACCTTATCTGGACCCGCAGAAAACGACATGTCCATAGATGACAAACCTTCCAGAACAACGCTTTCCTCGAAAAAGGGCAGAAAAATGCTGTTAGCTTGAGGTAGCTGGTACGGATACGGAGTGGATGCGTTGTAAATATGAGACAAGTACGTTGTTTGGAAAAAGTTAGCGAATAAATTTGCAATACCAACAGCAGAAGCTTCTGTTTTGTTCTGGTAATGAAGGGACGGAGGAAAACCGTTTGACTTGCGCTTAGAGTTAACGAACGAATAGAATTTTTTAGGATCACTACGAAAGTTTCTACTACATTGTGAAAGGTAATGATTATAACACTGACTATTGACGGCAAGGAATAGAGAGCGAGCGGAGGAGTATACAGCTAAGGCCAACGTGGAGCCCGACTTCTGGTACTTTTTATAGAGCCGGGATTTATTATTTTTTAAGTATGACAAATACTTGGAGAACCAGGGAGGCTTGGACGATACAGGTACAGTGATATCTGGAACAAACGTATTTAGGGCGGAGTAAATAGAACTATAAAACGAGTTAACAGTTGCATCTATGTTCGGTAATGAATAAAGAAACGACCAATCAACACGCGAGAGATGTAGATCTAAATCGATAAAGTTTGTTTTGCGAAAACACTTTATGTGACAGGGAGCCATGGAACTGTCAGCACCTCCAGATTGTGTACACTCCAGTGATATCAACAAAGTTGGATGGTAAGGATCTTCAGGGAGAGATATTGGGCTTGCTCTAGATACCGTAGCAAGAGAACCATCGTTAACAAAAACGAGGTCAAGAAGTCTGTCCCTAATGTTTTTAACGGCATTAATTTGGACAAGGGAAATATCCGTTAGCCCATTGAAAAAGTCGTACCTATGGTCCTGGAAAAGGAAAAATTTATCAGCCACAAATATGATTAAAAAGGGCTCTCAAAATACTTACCGCCAGCCATTCAGACACACACACACACACACATCCATTACACTTGGGCGGCCGGACATGTGCCGTTCGAGTAGGCGTGTCATCGACCGCCATTGCCCACTGCTGGTGGCCGGACCAGTGCCACTCGCCCTACATTAGGGCCACAATTGCCGACGCACACACACACTCACATCCATTTCACTTTGGCGGCCGGACCTGTGTCGCCACAGTAATATGTGTGCCGTCTACTCCTGGCTCCCAGCTGGTGGCCGGACCAGTGCCACTGGTTCTCCAAGCGGGCAGCCACAGCCACAACGACGACGAGGTGCTAATTGCAGCTACCTCTGACGACTTCGGATGACGCCAATTTCGATGACCAGGGGGGGCGACGGGGTCGGCCGGTATACAACGCAATGTCTTTACAAGCATTGTGTTTTGCTATGCCGGCCGATGCTTCTTGTCTTCCCTGTAATTATAGAAAAAGATATAGACATTATTTTAAATTGTTATGTTTATTGTAATATTGTAAACGTAAATCAATTGTACCTGTTTTGTCTCGTCTTTGTTCCAGTGTAGTATCTCTTTTATTACCTGTTTTTCCGTCGTCTCCACTCCAGTCTACAACTTATCTGTATTGTTATTTCTGCAAGTGCTTGTCTCTTTTTTATTTAGTGTCTTTCCTCTTATTTTCCACGCAAAGCACCTGCATTGTTTACCTTTTCTCTTTATCTATTCCTCAATTGACTACGTGTTGCAACACTGCACTTTCTGAATTTTCGATCTCATTTCTTTAACCCCTTCTTCCCCCCCCCCCCCCCATTGTTATTATCGTAATTAGTGCGGTTCTCCGACACCCCACTACAAAATTATTACAATCTGTGATAAATCTTCAGCAGCGCGCTGCTGCGGCCGATCGAGCGGGGTTTGTGCCATGGCTGTGGTTCGAGTTCGAACTCGCTCCCGAACGGGCACTCGAACACGAATCTTTTGTTGGCTGCTGTTCGTGTAGAGGCTGCTCGAGTGCCCTCTCGTACTGTCGCTGGTACGAGGTCGTTACCCGCTCTCTCTTTGCGCCTTCTCTCGCTCCTTGCTGTTTCCGGCTCTCTCCACACGATGCATCGGCATACGGTGCATCGATACGTGTCTATGTGTGTTGGAGTGTGGGAAGCGGAATTATTGGCGCGCTTGGTACCGCTAGGCTTGGCTTGGCTTGACATAGCGGTGCTTGACATAGCGGTGCTTTGGCTGACGCCGCTGCCGCTGCCGACGCCGCCAATGCCTCAAGCCGGCGACTACCGCTGCTGCTGCTGATGTTCTGCTGCTGCTGATGCTGGCGTTCCTGGGTATGGACCGCCTCCACCCAGTCGCCGATCTGGAACTGCTCCTGGCTGGTGAGATTAGGAATGTCCGCCCAGCTGTTGGGGCAGGGCAGGTCGGGGATGGGGCTTGTGGCCGGAGTGGCGGTGATGGTGGTGTCGGCAGTTGTGGTCCTCACATACCCGGTAATGGTGGCTGGAGCCGGTCCAGGAATTGGAGGAAGTGCCTCCAACCAGGTGGCGGAGTCGGTGGATTGGCGTCTCAGTATCGCTGCGTTTGCCACGGTGCCGGTGGCTGCGCTGTCGGAGCTGGTAGTGGAAATGGCTGATTTGGGGCGATCCCTGGCTGTGACGCCGTGTGGTCCTCGTCGTCGTCGTCCTCTTCTGGCAGTGGATCCGCGTGGCATAGCTGCGCTGGATTGGCTTTGGTTGGATTTGGTAATAAATTATTCGACCGACGCGAGTGGAGTTTTTGTCAATTCAGATTGCTCTTTTTTTTCCAATATATACCCGCTTTGGGTTGAGGGCTCTCAGTGCTCCAACTGGGGAGGGGCTGAGAGGCTGGGGTATGAGCCGCCAGCAACCAAGCGCGTTGCTTTATTAATTTCAGTTTGTGGGCAGTATATGTCTTAATATTAATATATGTACATTTTTTTTGTTTGTTTTTACAAATCAACTTTAAACGACACTCAAACACACTGGTACATTTGATGGCACAATAATTTACAAACATATAAACTGCAGCAACGAAACACTTGTAACCTCGACTAGGCCCGCAGTCAGCAGGGGGGAAAGGGAAAAAGAGAAAAAGAGAGAGACAAAATATTCGGCACTTTGACGGAGAGACTAAACCTCGAACACGACTTTTGGATAGAGATCCAGACTCGAGACCATTCCACGATCGGGGCAAAAGGCTCCAAAAGTACGAATTGTCAAGAGGGTGTCAAGTGTGTGTGTGTGTGGTGTGAGTCAAGAAAGTAAAGTGGGGCCACGCTCAAAAGTATGCTGTCTCTTCTTTGTAATTCTCCCTAACTTAAAATTTGATTTGCAATCCCCTGTGAGTTTGTCAACTTGATGTTTTGTTGGCTGTAATGCGGTATGTGGTCTT